CCTCTTTTCCATCTTCAAGATTCTACCGGAGATGGCGATGTTCCGACCAAAAATTCGTTTACCGATCATCTTCTTCCTCTTTGTGATCATCTCTCTATGTTCCGCCAACAAAGAGGCCTTTTCTCCCACTGGGTTTGTACAAATGGAGTGCCTGAGAGTCCCGCCGTTGGAGTTCGCCGGAGCGGCCAAAACCGCCGTCGAGGCCATCAGAAAAGCCGTAGCTTTAGTGTCTAAGTTCGACAAGAAAGTCGGAAAGTCACGAGTGAGCAATGCGATTCTTGATTGCGTTGATCTTCTTGATTCTGCCTCCGAAGAGCTTTCTTGGATCATCTCTGCCTCTCAAAACCCCAACGGTACCAAATCACATTTTACTTTCTTTCCTCTTTTTCATGCAAAATATGAATCTCTCATATTACAGTCTTAACAAGATTATTTACCAGATTGAGTACAAAACTCGCCGAGTGAAGTTCAGCAAATGTTTTTTTTTTTTTTTTGGAGAAAAAGAGAAATTTCATTTCAGCAAATTACATAATTTTTGGTTCAATAATATGAATATCCAATGGTTAGTAGTACATTTTAAGGGTTAATTGCCACAGATCTCATTATCTGTATTGTAGTGCCATTATTTACACCGAATTTGATCACATATATACCAGAACGTGACAGAAAGAAAAAGAAAAACATTGGACCGCAAAAGCACGATTTGGATGAAACAACGATAACTAGTTCTAGGTAGGGATTGAATTATTATCCGGGATCCGAGAACCGATCCGAATATCGCTCCGAAAATTAGGATATCCGGAAAGTCCAAATTCGCATAAGGATAGTAAAATCTAGGATCCTTGAAAAGAGGATCCGGATCCGGATAACAAAATTTTCAGGTCCGGATATCCGGATCCGGACGCATTAAATATATTAAAAACATATATATTATATATCTATTAAGCTAATTTTATATAAAAAAATATATATTTAAATTGATTTTAGTTTTTTTATAATAAATTATATTTATAATGAAAAATATCATTTAAAATATTAATTAATAATTTTTAAAAATATATTTTATTTATTTATTAATTATTTTAATTATTCTTAATATTAATTTCGGATCCGGATCCGGATATCCGCGAATATCCGTTTTTTGGGCGGATATCCAGAGTCCGGATATCCGGAGGTCCCGATTCCGGATCCAGATAGTTTTTTTCACGGATCCGATGATTCTGGATCTGGATACTTTGAAATTTCAGGGTATCGAGATTCTTTCCACCCCTAGTTTTAGGAGTA